TTAGAGAAGATGTTACGGTCTCGTTACAAAATCATTCTGTAGGGGTTTGTAACCGTTAGATCAATTATCTCTGACGGTTACATGATGATCTAACGGTTATAAATCCCGACAGAATAGTTCCGTAACGAGACCTTAGCATTTCCCATTTTTTTAGTATTAACTATTATGAATAGTCCTACTTTTTTCCTTCACTTTTTCAGATCATTTTTATGTCTTTATTATTTTCCTCATTTGAAGAACAGACTGCCAATTGGACCACTAATCTCAGCCTTTAATAAATATGTGTGAAATTAAAGCAAAGACCCAGTCTGGTTACAAAATCATCATTACATGCTTCTACTCCCCTTGGGTAGAGTGGGCCTCATTTGGCTTCTCTTTCACGTGATAATGGCCCAAACTAATATGGGCTTTCACAAATAGGGCCTACTTTCAAATTATTCTTTAATCAGCCACTCAAAGTACGAGTACTCATTAGCATTGTGGTTGTGGAGGAGATAAATGTACTTTTGCATGTGGTGAACATTTGGGATGATATGAGAGATTTCAATCACAATTCCAATTTTATTGACATATTTTTATCGTCTCAATGATCAAATTTACTGAATTTGGTGTATAGGATTAAACGAGTTTAGCTCGAGCACTTAATCGTTAAGCTCGTGTGCAATTCGTTTAACGAGCTCGTACTCGACTCGTCGATCAATAGTAATAAGTGAAGCTCGAGCCGAATTTGAGCTCAAGTTGGACCATAAAAATAATATAACAATAATATTAATATTCTCGAGCCTTAACGAGTCAAGTTGACTCGACTCATTAATTAAACGTTTCACTCATTTGATTAGGTGTAATCGAGTCTACATATTCTACATATTTGGGTAATATTTGGTAATTATATTTTGACTAATAATTACATATGAGAAAACATACAATTGTTTAAAATTGGGTAAAAAAAAAAAGAAAATATTCGGGTGAAAACCAACCTAACAATACGTATCTTTCGACACTTTTGACAAAAACACATTTATAATGATAAAATATCATACTTTTCATATTATTTTTTCAAAAAGTATAAGTATCTAATTGCTAGACTTAACAAAAGCTTATACGGAATATAACTATTTGCTCAAAAAGTATAATTATATAATTTCTAGACCTAACAAATACTTATCGATTAAATTGTGTTAATTAAAAAATCGATTCTAACTATTTTTTATTGACGAAACAGATCAATTAACGTAAGTTCCTAGTTCCTTCTATTATTCTTTACGGCTAGGCCCATGCCATGAGAGGCCCACAAGAGAGAAAGGGAAGACAAAACTCAGTCCAGTCCTTTTCTCTGAGAATGACCCAACATTCACGGATTAAATACACCAAATGGGCGAAAATGTCAAATAATGGGCCCACTCAAATTAGCCCATTTATGGGGCCCACGTGCAGTCGAAATTTCTTCATCCAATTGATTTTGTTATGACTTGATAGATTTTTTATTTTTTATTTTTTCAAAAAGTGTATCAGTTGTAATTTGACTGTAGGGGACAACTCTGTCCTTGGGCCCAATGTGTTAATAGGCCCAATATCATTTAATATGAATTATTGGGTCGTACGCTTGTGTAGGCATTCATATGAATTTCAGGCTGCAGCCCATCAGATGTCGGATCCAATTATCACCGGAGACCAATTGGGCCCACCATAACATCACTATGACATTTTTCAGTCAATATCTATATAGAGGAATTTGCATCCTCCACTACACATTAATATTTTTATTGCATAATTACAATTGGTATATATTTTTTTGTAAATTAACTCAAACTTTTATATTTATTTACAAACATACCAGATTATTAAACAACATATAATTGTTCTTAAATATGGTAAAAGCAGATTTGTTGGGATCTATAATTATCACACTCTCTCTCTCTCCATTCTTCTTTTCTCTCCCCCTCCCTCTCTCTCATCTTCTTCTTCTCCAATTCGCCGCTATTCTCCTTTCCCACCGCTCCTTCGCGGCACCACCTCCACCCACCCACCGCTCTTTTGTGTTTTTCGTTGTTTGATTCCAATCACGTTTTCCGTTGTTCGATTTGTTAATTGTTTGTTCGGATTGAGAATTTCGCGACGGTTGTATAGGTTATGGAAGCTGACGAACTGCAGCGGTTCCTGGCGGAGGTGCAGAGGGAAGCGAACTCGATGGCGGGGGGCGTCATCAACAGGCTAAAGCACACACACTTGTTTCATAGGGGGGGATGAATCTGGAGGTGTTCTTCAAGTACTTGTTTGGGGATGCTAATTCACTATTGGATCCGAAAATTGGATTAATTTTTCATTATTACTGTTTTCGAGATGCATCAGTTTTCAGTATATCTTAGGTATATTTTTAGGTATATGTGGGTTCTGAAATCGATTTTGAGAAACGGATTCAAACTCGAGTGTATATTTAAAGTATAATTTATGTGTATGTGTGTCCCGAGATTTTTCAGTTTTTGCTTTGTCTTCTTTTGCTTGTAGTGTAATTATGACATTTTGACGGGGGATTGAATTCCTTAGTGTATACGTTAGGTATATTTTCAGATATATGTGAGTTCTAAAATCGTTTTTGAAAAACAGTTGAAACTCGAGTGTAGATTTAAAGTATATTTTATGTATATTTTAAGGTATATGTGGATTTATATCAAGTTTACGCTAAGTAGGTGTTGGTTTTATATCAAGTTTATGATAAGTATATGATAGTGTGATATAGTATTAATAAACTAATCAGATAAATATACTTTACGAAGTATATACCTATCATATGATTTGGGACATACTTGAGACATGCTTCAATTATGTAACAATTGGTATATAATCGGTATATTTCAAGTATATATCACTGCTAGTGTGTCCAACACCAACACAGTTCATTTTGTCAACATATACTAATCTGGTATTATGTTTAAATAAGGTAACGGAAAGCATGAATTACGGGGAGAGAGAGAAGATGGTTTGGTTTGATAAGGTAACAGAAAGCATTAATTACGGGGAGAGAGAGAAGATGCTTAGGCATCAATATAATTACTTTTTATCTTTTAGGTATATACATAAATTTATTGGTTTCAATGGTAAAACTGCAATACTTAAAAATCGATAAGTATACATGAAAATTTCCCATATATCTACTGTAGCGCACACTTTACTAAAGTAAGTGATACACAAATAAAGTTTCTTCTCCCGTTTTTATCTTACATTTTACGCGAACTTTACTCTTATATAGAGTATAATGAAATAAAAATCAAGTTTCCTTTCCAGCTCTTATCTTTATTGTTTACTCGACATCAAATATTATTTTTATTCATTTTTATTTCAAATAATTTGGTAAATATATTTATATCTAATCTTATATAAATGTTTATTACCCAAATAATAAAAATGTATGTTATTTTATTTTATTTTTATTTCAAATGAATTGGTACACACACACACACACACACACACACACACACATATATATATATATATATAATTTATTTAAATTGTTTATTACCCAAATAATAAAAATATATTTTAATTATTTTTATATTGAATATATTGGTATATGTATGAATATTTAATCTTATATAACTATTTATTAAAATTAAAAAAGTTTATATAAAATGTTTATTGCCCAAATAATCATATAGTACCATTTTAAAATAAAAAATGCACAAATAAAATTATAATACATCAATAAAAAAAAATACAAAATTATTTAACATAAAATAAACATTTTACAAAGTTATTTATCATAAAAATACATTCACGAATACACATTAAACAAAAAAATTATCATCATTAATATTACATTAAAATACATAAAAAAATGTAGAGTAGAGCTACAGTGTTGCGCCAGATGTGGCGCAACACTGTTTCAATCTCTCATCTAGCGCCACAATCTACCGCAACATTGGAGTAGTATTTTGCGCTAATTTAGCGCAAAAAAGAGAGAGATAGCACAGGGGTGCGGTTGCCCTAAAAGCAAGTTCAGTGTTGCACTACAATGCTAATCTACTTCAGAGTTGTGCGAAAAATTGCTTCAATGCTGAACTACATTTTAACAATGCTCTGAAGATCGCGCTACAATTTCATATCAATTTTTATTTTCTTTTTAATTGATTATTATTCTATATATTATTTTGACAAAGTATATTAATAAAATTATTAATTTTGTTAAAAAAAAGTTAGTTTAATTGTTGTATTATATTTTTTTATACTAATACATTTCATGTAGAGTAAAATGCAGCACGGAGGACTGGAGATAAAAATTAATTGTTTACATTTTCTATTTCAAAGTAGAGTAAACTCTACACTAATGTAGAACATATGACTAGAGATGGTCTAATGCTAGATAATTTGAGTACAAGTTAGACGGTCTAACAGTAGCATATGTGTTAGCTGGATTGACTCCTCATACATTTTTTTTTTTCAAAACGGAAGATTTTATAAGTCTCAAAAGGATAATTTTACAATAAAGACCTGAGAACAGGGCTGCAAACGAGCGCTCTAGTCAAAGCTCGACTTAAGTTTGACCAAACTCGAGTCGAGCTCGAGGGGCTTGAGCTCGACCACGAGCTCGAGTCGAGCTCAAGCCCATATTTTACATTGTCGATAATTTCAAGATATATGCTAAATTACTAAAATATCCCTTTATATATTTTACCTAGACTTGTCAAAACGGGCCGGCCCGCAGCCCGCCAAAAACCGCCATTTGGCGGGGCGAGGTGGGGTAGGCCCCTAAATAACCAGCCCGGCCCACCCCCGCCACGGGCCGCGGGTTAGGCAGGCTGGCCCGCCAAATAAAAAAAAACTGAAAAAAATAAAACCACATTACCTGTTGCAGCAAGCATGCTCATCAATTGAATAAATAAGCTGCAAATCAATTAAAAAACCACAAGCAGGCTGCCAATCAATTGAAAAAAAAATATATACATTATACAAATGAATAAACCAAATCTTTTAATTCAAATCAAATCCAAAGGTCCCGGTTTCCGCTAGCCACTCGTTGTTCGCTGCTCGGAGACACTGTTGTTGCCCCTTGAAGGTCTCGCCGCTCGCCAGTCGCCACTCGAGTCAAAGCTTGAAGGTCCCGTCACCGGTCGAAGGTCGCCGCCACCAGAAGGTTTAGAGAGACAAATAGGAGATAAGAGTGAGACTTGGAGACTAGGGTTTACAAATGAAATTAGCCCGCTGTACTTGAGTTATGTAGTTTCTTTTCACTTCACTTTACTATTTTAGTTTTTATAATTTGTTTTAATATGTTTTTATTTTTTAATTTTAGTACTTAATGGAAAAAAAATATATTAAAAATCATAGATGAGTTTCCAAATACAAAGACATTGTTACATAAATTATTACATTACATATATTAATCTATTTTTTTTTTTTTATCTAATGGTTGGCTGGCCCGCGGCCCGCCCGGGCCAGCCTGTTTATGACAGGCCTATAAAATGCCAACCCAACCCGCCTAAATGGCGGGCCTATAAAATGCCAACCCAACCCGCCTGTTAGGCGGGGCGGGGCGGGGTGGGGCGGCCCGCGGGTCCAGGCCCGTTTTGACAAGTCTAATCTTACCATAGGCACTTAATGGTTTAATTTTGCATTTAAAAATTTCCGAGTCGAGCTCGAGCATTTTGATTTCGAGTCGAGCTCGAGCTATTGTAATTTTTTATCGAGTTGAGCTCGACGAGCTCGATCTCAAGCTCGAGCAGCTAAAAAAAATCGATCCTACTAGAGTAGGCCAATGCTCGACTCAGTTCGACTCGTTTGCATCTCTATTTAAAAGCTAACTAACCCGTATGAAAGCACCAAGGAAGTGAAATCAGGAGAATGCTAATCGAAGCACCCTAGACAAACAAAAACAACTGGAATTGGGTTCTGACAATCGATAGTGGCAAGCAACGACCAGAGCCCAATCCAAACAAAACAACAAACTAAATAGTTAATTACTCGAAGTGGAAAAACACGGACTAAAAAATAAAAGTAACACACACCTAAACTAGAGGAATTTACACCCTTTACTATCATATATAATTTATATTGCACTTGTATCCCCATAATATTTTTATTTATAAAAGTACTACATCAAGTGAAAAATATTACAATTATGCCTGAGATCCTTAAATGGAATTTAGATCCTTAATTTTGGAAATATTAAATAGAATTTAGATCCTTAATTAACCCACAACCATAAATCTCAAACATATCTTCTTCTTTCTCCTTTCTATCTCAACAGATCTTCCTTTCTCTCCCGCTCACCTTTTTGTCTCAATAATGGCGGCTCCACCAATCTCCAGATCTCCCAAGCCAGCCCCATTCCCTGCGCCGTCCCTCGCCCCGCCCTCACAATCCGCGCCACCACCACCTCCTCCGATCCCCTTTCCGCCTCTGCATTTGCCTCTGCCTCTCTTAAGCACCGCCGCCCCGCGGCCGCCAAGTACGTCCCCTTCATTACTGATATTAATCTCTGCCCGGCTTAAAATATAAAACTTGTAACGGGAGTGTATGCATGCTGGTCTAGCCTATCTGGAGAAGTCGGTTTTACTGTTTTTTTTNNNNTTTTTTTTTTTTTTTAACAGAATTTCCATGGGGCGCAAGATTTGGATGGGCCAAATTCGGTCGTGTGCCTTAGAAAGTTGTACGGATTGGCTTTTGTCCAGTTTCCAAACAAATGATGGTGTAATGGTGTTAAGTGAAGATGCAAATAGATTTAACTTGTAAATGCCCTTTTAAGTTTGTAATTTCTGTATGGACAACTTGTAAGTAAAATGGAGGCTTGAGTGTGATGGCCTTTGTATCGTCTTCTCATGTTATATGTATGGTTTATATTCATTATATCTTCGCTATATATGTATGGTTTATATTTGTAAAATCATGGAAAACATATACAATACATATATCATCATTACGGTTTGTATTGTAAGTATGTATACCGAGATTATATTTTATATATTCATTATATATACCATGATTATGCTTTATATTTACTATAATCATTGAAATATATATAACACACACACCAATACTTTTTGATGGTATATTTTATGTATATATATTAAACATATACTGAATATATACTAACATAAATGCAACATATGCCCACACTGGACAGCTGCGTGAATTACAATACATGTTTTTTTTTTTCTTTTTTCTTTTTCGTATTTGTAATAGATACACGACAATTAAGGGTGGAACGTTTTATTTGTATAGTTATTCATGGTTTATAGTTAGTATATTTTCAGTATATTTTCGGTATATTTTCAAAAGAGCAATATTAAAAAAAATGATATATGTATCTTAACAAAACGATTAAAATGAACTATATATATACCATTAAAAAACTGTATATATACCATTAAAAATCTGGAAAACACATTTAATGGATTATCAAAGAACAAAAAAATATATATAAAAAAAAAAAAATGAACCATTTTTTTTTTAGGTTGAAATGGATATAGTAACTTACTTTTAGACATTAATATAGTCAAATATGGTTTGGGATTGAGGTTGTAATGGATATGGTAACTCCATTTAGGTATTGATGTAATTAAATATGGTCTTTTAAGTAAAAACATAATTAATTATATTTGGATGGTAGAATTATAAATATTTATAAATCAAGTAGGAGATTTGAAAATTCCCCCCTAAACTATCTATAAATTACTATCTCCCCAACACAAGCAACCCACGGCAGAACCCAAATAAGCATTAACCAGAATCCATGCACAACAAACCCACGTACAGGACCTAAAGCGTGACAGAAATGGACCCCAGAATTAAGAACTCCACATGACTGACTAGGTAGAACAGGCAGGAAGGCAAACCTTAGTGCAGACGGAAAGCCCGAAGCCACTGGTCGAGGGAGAAAAACGCCTCGAAGGGATCGACTTTGAAATTAAGACTGAGGACCAAACTCACTCACTCTAAGGGGACTGGACCTGACGACGAGCACATCGGGAGACCACGAGCCTGGAGAAGACAACAGGGCTGCGGCCAAGACACCGAAAAATGGCCCGAACGAGGCAGAGGGCTGCAGGACACGACGATGACATAAAACCCGGCCCGAGGCGCCACAAGCCCTCTCCTGCTCACGGCTGCGACCGGAGAACACACCTATGGACGGGGTGAGGCGCGCGTTGGGAAGGCGGCAGGGCTCTTGCTTCAGGACACAGCCGAAAACTAGGGCGGCGGGGCTGTGGATCACTAGTGGGAGAAGGGGGAGAAAGGGGGCGCGGCTGGTGAAGGAGAAGGGAGCGAGACAGCGGCGGGGGATTTTAGGGGGGAGGAAATTTTGAGGGATTTTAGGGGAGAGGTTGGTGTATTTGAAATGTCTACTTTTTTATTCTTACAAGCCTTGCTAACAAAAGATAACAAACATACAAAAAAGGGGGAATTTTAAAATTTCCCGTACAAAATCTTTACAAAATCTATTCAAGTTTCCTGAAAAAGGTCGAAAGTCGAAGTCGAACAATAATGTTGTTAACAGAGTTTGATGCTTGAGCCGTGTTTGGCTGATTGAGCGAACATTCATCCAGATTTGCCATTTGAGCTGTAAATATGCAATAATCATACGACCAAAAGGACTTCTTGTCTAACTCAATGGAAGCCAAACCAGCCCTCAGGATCGTCATCATCATCACCGAACACAACTTGAATAACAGCTATCGCGAGCCTGCAAATCACAAATTCACCATTTGGACAGAGAAAATATGAATCCAAGTGATTTACTAAAGGATCAAAAACAGAGAAAGTGATTTCGAGTGTTTTCAAGAGCCTTCTTTTGATTTGGCATGAATCAATCAGAATCTAAGGTCAAGGCAAGACGTGCGTTGCATTCCGAATTTTACTCGTTTGATCGATTGGTACTAAGAAATTAGAAGTCAAACAACTTATTCGCCAAAAACAGTTTCAACTAATTCAACTTTTGGAATCTTTTTGCAAGAAGTACTGATTTCTGAATACCTTCAGTTCTTGCTGCTAAAGCAAAGTACAGCAACAAGACATGCATAGGAGCACCAAACGAAGCTTTTAAAAAAATGGCACCAAAGAAGCATGTATCCGTAATAAGTACATATTTATATTCAAACATCTAAAGTTTTTGTGTTCTTCAGTATATTACTTTATAGCTTGCCGGTTCCAAGAAGTACGGTGATAAGAAATTAAAGAAAAGTAGCACTTTTACTATATTACCGAACATTCTCTTTCAACTAATTCAATTTTTAGCTGCTATTTGCAAACACTACCAACTTCCATGTTTCAACTCTCAACTGCCTTGCTTTTAGATAGAAAATAAAAAAATTTCCGAAAGCAGATTTTTGCAAACGCCCCCTATAAAATTAAGGAACGATGAAAGAATTCGTGCGAAACTTTCTATACATAACCAGTAAAGATTTTTCAACGAGAGGTCCTCAAGAAACGGTCTGCATCCAAAGGTACAAAAGGGCACAGCCAGTGGATTTCAAAAGGCAATCTCCTTTTTTTTACTTAACTCTAAAACTCATGTAGTGAGGAACGAAAATCGAACTCTTCATTACTGGAGTCGAGGACCAAAACCAAAGCTTTTATTGAGCCGGCAGCAATAGCTCTATAATCAACATACATTTAATGAGAACAAGAAAGAATATCACGCATTCCTCGTTAAAGGGACAAGAGTTACAGCAAACCTGGTAATAGTTAGGACAAAGAAGATAATGTAAAAAATCAACTTGACAATTCGAACTTTCTTCTCATCATTGAGTACTCTAAAAACTTCAGTTACGTCGATAAGATGCTGTCGTGCTAAGTACCTGATATGAAAAATGGAAAATGTGGAGTTGAGAAAAGTGAATATTTCACATTTAAATTCATGATCAGCGATTCTTGAAAGTTGGCAAAATATATATTGCAACATCACGAGGTTTCTAGTGAAAAATTAATCTATATAGTTATGAACTCGTTTCAAAAAAGAAAACAGAAAAAAAAAGAACATTTGTAAACAGTAGATCTGAAGGAGGCATTTGCCATTTTAGAAGATAACTGGGAATTTTCAGAATCAGGCTAAATCCTTAGCTTAATTATCTCCATATTGTACATCAGATGCATCACATTTTAACTTGAATAGCAATATTTAGTGCGTAAACAAGATTGATAAATTTGATTAGATGAAAGCTTACTTCTTCAGATTATAGTAAGCAGGAGGCAATGAGAGAAGGAACATTATCCAATGCCCTGTCACAAGAAACAGAATGGAGAACGCCCCTTGCAATAAATACTCGAGAACAATCACATAGTTGACACGAGATGATAATTCGTAGGGGTTCAAATAATCAGCCTCCAAGTCCGAAAAACCTAGAAACTACAGAAAACAAAAAATTTTGACTTGAGATGAATATACAAATTTTCAGCCATGTCGCGAGCTCAAATATTGTGACGGGATATAAAAACACATGAACAAACATCGTAAGGAAATAAGTTCACTGCGAAATAGAGAAAGAAAGAATAAAGAAG